ATCTGCTTCATCTCATCTGCCAAAGCTAGCCCTCCCTCTCTCTGTACCAATTTTTCTCTTATCTCAACACCAATAGCAATATCTTTAAGCCAAGGCCTAAGTCATTTTTATTAAATTGCCGAGGGGTTGCTTGGTTTTGTTTAATTTCTGTTGAAAGGACAGTGTCCCCCCACCCCCCAAGTTTCTGTGCGCTCTGCCAGATAGGGAAACAAATGGGTCATTTGTTTTTCTTTAGCTGTACTGCTGAGTCTAACTTGACTTTAATGCTCTCCCTAATGCAGGGCTTAGCCCACCCCAGGGTCTCTCCTGGGGTATGAAGTGGACAGAGACTGTTGTCATGGAGCAGCTGGGAGAAATCCCTAGTGAGAAGCTGTTTTGGCTAGGGGGTGTGTGGGGTCAGCCCAACCTTTGTGACTTGGCAGTGGTCACTCTTTCCTTAGTCCTTGAGAGCTGGAGCAAGGGATTTCCTGGGAAAAGCGCTCAAGACCCCAACCTCTTCTCTGTAGAAATTCAGTTGTATATGAACTGTTCTGAAGTTGGGATAGTTCTTCATTGAGGCTTCTAGAAAGTCCTGACGGAAACTGACCATGGGGGCAGAGGACTTGAGGATCTGTGCTCAACTCCAAGGATTCAACTGACATGTTCAGCTTTCTCATGTCTTGGCTTCCTTCGTGCATCATCTCTGGTTCAGCCCAAGTCTGCTTCTTCGCCCCTGCCCTGAGCAGTGAAGAGTAGCTGGAAAAAACCAGTGCACATTAATTGATATTACTAAGTTTAAGTGGACCCTCAGCTCTGATTGGTGTTCCTACTACATGCTCTTATTTAATACTCTTCAAGTCTTTAAGATCCTACCTTTTTCTTACTCCCTCCTTAACCTCTGAAAGACTTCCCCTGTTTTGTCATCTGACAACTCCACTTTTCATTTTACCAAGTAGAAAAAAATCAGAGCAGAATTATATCTTCCATCACTTAATCTATTAACCTACTTGCTCTCCAGAGCCCTGTACTCCAGTCTGGAGCCCCGAGCTCTGCTTCCATCCTGTGTACAGTATGAGCAGCCCTGCCTCCACTGGAAGCTGATGCCTCCCCTGCAGTCCTGGGCTGCTCTCTCATCTACACAGGGAAGCTGTGTTCCCATCGGTCCTTTTTTCCTCGATAAGCCCTTTTTTTAAAAAAAAAATTATGCATACAAGAACTGGGGTGTAGGCCAGAGGTGTGGGGGATGGAATGAGAGGATTCACTAGAGACAGAGTGGGGAGCAGGACAGGGAGATCGACTGAAATACACTGCTGCGGGGAGCAGCGGGTGAGACAGGAGAGGTCTGCTGCGCCATGTGGGTCAGCTCCCTGCTCAGGGATCAAACTTGTGCTGCAATAGTTGTGGATTGTTTCATAGTGCTGACTCTTAACCCCTGGGCCACCAGGGAGGCCCCCTGGATAAGTCCTTTTTTACTGGCTACAGGTATGCTGTCATCCTTGCTCAACAACCCCCAAAACTTCCTTGACTCAAAATCTCCCCTAGTTTCTACTCCAGTTCTCTTTTCCCCTTTACGGCCGAATTCCTCCAAAGACGTGTCCATTTTCAGCGTCCCCGCTTGTTCAGCCCCCGTGCTTTCTCTGCCCCACTCCAATGGAGCCCTTGTCCTCAGTCCCTTGAGCCCATTCTTGCCCTAGTCATTAGCAATGGCATTTGTCACATAGAACAGGCTCACTGACTTTCCTCGTTTGACTTGATCTCTCAGTAAATGCTTTCTCAGTAAAATATTTCACGCCTATGAAAGGTAGAAAAGGCCACAATGCTGTCCTCCTGCTTAAGATGAAAACATTAAGGATAAACTAGAAGCCTCTGTGTGTCTGGGTTTTTTTTTTTTGTTTTTTTTTGTGGGACCCTCGCTGGCGTCTGGGGAACGAACTGGCGCTGCAGAGGCTGCGGGCAGCCTCTCAGCCCAGCGCTCAACTGCTGCGCCACCAGGGGAGGCCCCTGTGTGTCTGTTTTGAGCTACTGTGTCTTCAGTCTTGCTTTCTAGATTAATTGCATGCTTCCAGCTTTTCTCAGGCAGCTGCCTTTCTATCTCATTAACCTCTAACCTGACTTAGTGTTCAGACTTTTCTAAGTACCTACCTGGAGGATCTCACTCACTCTGTGTTTTTAAATACTGTGTATGTTCGGATGACTCCCAAATTTACCTCTGCACATTGGCCTCTCATTATAGTTCTAGATGGATCCTCCACTGGATGTCTAATAAAACTAAACCCTTGATTCCATATCCCTCCACCAAACTGCTCTGCCCATGGGTTACTTCACTGTAGCAATGCACCCCTGACTTCTCAGGCCAAATCCTAGCACTCATCCTTGATGCTACTCTGTCTCTCACCCCTCTCCCTGCCCCCCTACCATCAGCAAGCTCTGCCAGTTTTGTCTTTAAAGTGTGCCCCAAATCTGACTAGGTATCCTCTCTACCAACTTGTCATCATCTCTGGACATCTGCCATTGCCCCCTAAATGGTTTCCCTGCCCACCCTCTTGGTTTCCTCTAGGTAATTTTCCTCATAGAAGCCAGAATAATTCCCTTTTTAAAATGTAAGTCATGTAATTTCCTTGCTCAAATTTCTCTAATGCTTACCATCGTCTCAAAATAAGATCCAAACTACACTTCGGCTCATGTTTCTTGACATGACTTGTGCCCTCTGGTCTTATTTAATAACAGATTCCTGAGCTAACTTTGTCACCCTGGCCCTTTCTAAGTTTGTTGTCCTTCTAGGACCTTTGCATGTGCTTTCCCCTCTGCCTGAAATAAATGTGCTCCCCTGGATTTTGCATGGTTCACCCTCACTTTGCGCTGGTCTCCCTGTCCCTGCCTTTCCCAGGCAGCCTTTCCTCGTGTCTAAGTAACTTCTCCCTGTCACCACCACTCTCTATCCCTCACGCTGCCATATTTTTCTTGTACCTCTCTTAGTTTGCTGCCTCTGGTCACTTTCTCTGTGAATGTAAACTCCCCGTACCCCAAATGCCTAAAAGTGACTAGCAAAATCCTCTTCTCATTGGGAGTCCCAGCTCCAGTTGGGTTGGTCAGAATATGCTGCTGCTGGGCCTCCTTGGTGGCACAAGGGATAAGACGTAACCTGTGAAGCTGTCCGCAGCCTCTGCATCATGAGTTTGATCCCCGACCAGGGAGCTACCCACATGATGCAGCAGACCTCTCCTGACTCGCCTGCTGCTCCCCTTAACAGTGTATTTCAGTCAGTCTGCCTGTTCTGCTCCCCACTCTGTCTCTGGTGAATCCTCTCACCACCACCCCACACCTCTGGTGTGTACCCTAGTTCTTGTATGCATAAATAAATAAATCTTAAAAAAAAAAGAATATGCTGCTGCTTTTGGTGATGGAATGCTGTTCAGCATGTTCAGCTTCATAGATTTGGAGGATCAGAGATGACAGCCTGCTTATGATGGGCAACTCAGGTCCTGGGTCCCCAGTACTTCCCGATCAGGTGTGTAGTCTCTGCCAAGCCAGAGTACCAAGCCAGAAAGGGCTTCTCAGAAGCCAGGGCAGCAAGGAGGGCACATTGTTGCTCCCACACCCTCAGGCATGTGCTGTGATTGTCCTCTTGGTGCTGCCTGAGGTTCCATAGGGCCCACTGGCCTGCCACCGACAGTTTGAACAAGCTTGGGGCTGCTGGGTCACAGCCCCCAGTGACAGAGCTGTTGTCTCTGCCATGTCTGGTCTGGACTTGCTCACAACTGGCAAGTTCCTTGGTAAGTGAACCAGGGAGGCTTCGGGCCAGCACTGGAGCATCAGAACTACATCCTCATCTGCCCTTCGGCTCATGGTCAGGGTTATTTCTGCAGAAATTTCTTTGGGGAACTGTAGAGTGCTAATCACTTCCTACAAGGGAGAACTGGCAAGCAGAAGTCTGCTGGGGATTTTCCCAATGCCTTATCCTCATGCATCAATCAATTATTAGCATTTGTTTTCTCCAGTTTGTTAATTAACTACAGATAATGTTTCTGTAAGTTTCACTGCCTGAGTTGTCACAGCACCTCATTTGCAAGAAAACAGTAAGGCTGGGTTCCCTTTCCTCGGCTCTCTGTGTTCAGCAGGCAGCTGCTTGGCTTGCGCACTGGCATGTGTCTCTCTAAGTACTGACAGTAAGCAAACGTGTAGGGAAGAACCCTGTATCAGCCTTCACTGCTGTGGGGACCCCTCCTGTCCAGAGTCCTGGAAGATGCCCTCAGGAGACACAGGAAATTCACTTTGGAGGGAAAGCGTGAGGGATTTCAGTTGTTAGAAAGCTACTTCTCACATTGAACTTTGTGTAATAAAGCCTGCAAGTCAGCACACAAGTGTCACTTTAGTTCCTTTTAGGTGTTTTAGTTTCAATCAGGAGATCTTGGTATTGTGTGAAGGTCCCAGGAGTTTACTTTTCCCAAGGACATGTTTTGCTGAAGCTAAAAGATCTTCCTTTAAAAAATACAGTCCTCTATTAAAAACAAAAACACATAATGGAAAAACGCACAAAATCAATTGAAGCCCAATCATTGGAGTCTTGAGTAAAATATCTTTCAGTGCACCCTAAATTATGTTATAGTTCGGCTTTTTGGATTGTGAGCATAGCTTTGGGGCTTCTGGCCATTTATTGATTTTTTTTTTTTTCCTTTTATAGATTAAACACCTCTGGCCTAGGAGGGCTAAACAACTTAGATAAGCATATTCAGAAAATCTTAGGGCTCCAGGACACATTTTATGCCATTGTACCTGAGTGTGGGGGGCCCCAATAGGTGAGATTCAATATCCCAGCTTTCCAGAAATCAGAGAAAGCCGTCATTGGTTGAATGGTTTTTCTTTTAAAACAGAATTATACAGCATCACCAGCATTTGCCAGCATGAGGATGATCTCATTTCTTGCTTGTCTATTAAGTTTTCTTTCTGCTTGACTTTCTTGTTAATTTTGATGAAAACTTTCTCTAATCTTTTAAAGTTGTTTGTTTCAATTTTTCTTTTAGGCTACTCATAGGATCCAGTCTTAAATGGTCCTTACAAGGCCTTGGTTTTTACTGGACGCCATTGTTTTCTCCAAGAGCTGAGACCTCTTCCAGATCAGCGTTTAGACAGCTCCTCGAGACACTGGCATCAAGAACCCACCTAACAGTAAGTGGCACTTACATGTGCATTGTGCTACCAAGTCAATTTCAGCGCGGTACAGAGTTCAGATAATATTTTTGGAAAGTATATGGAGACTTAAATCACACATTGCAAATAAATAAAGTGGTCTTAAAGAATTGGTGTTGCCAGTGGGTCAAGCATCTCAGGCCATAGAAGCGTCCTTTAGTTCTGAAGATTTCATCCCTCTCTGGTGATACACAGCAGCAGCCTGGGAATGTCGTTGGGCGAGATGACCGTGTCATCGTGCTCTGAGTTTTATGTATGTCCATCCAGCCACACGACAGTCTTGAGACCTTGTTCATGGAGGGGCCTGTGCCTTTTTGTCAGCATGTGTGAACAATCCGTGTGTCTATGTAGCACATTGTGACTGGCAGGCAGTCATGACCCGTGCAGCACATCTTCTGTTGGGGACATATTATCACCCTTTTCCATTTGAGGGAACTGAGGTTTAAATGATTTGCTAAGGTTATGTAGTTCGTGGCGGGGCTGGAGATTCAATGTTGAGTTTGTTAAAGTCTCTCCTTTTCTTCTTTCTGTCATGTCCCAATGATCAACTTAAAAAAGCCCCAGGGCTGCCTGTTCTAGATGCTCAACCTCCTCTTTAATTATCCCCACCTGTGTCTCTCCTGGGGTGCCCTAGTAGAAGCAGTCCCCAAAGGAGAAGTGGGGATCAGGGTTTCCCTTTCTCTGGTTTGAGACCCCCCGCCAAGACCCTGCTACTAGGGCAATCCACAGCTTCACGATGACTGCAGTGAAACCTGCAAGGTGTCTATAGCCCCAGCAAGGCCAGTGACCTCAGCCAAGTGCCTGGTCCTGACTTCATCCCCAGAGAGTCAGGATTTAGGTGGGGAGGAAGTGGTTGGTGAGAGGAGGAGCAGATCTTGCTGTTTCCAGCAGGGCCCACCGCTCTCTCTTGCTTCTTCCCGCTGTCTCAGCTGAATGACATTTGTGTCAGCTGCTCCCAAAGGGAGTCACTTTGGTGAAATGTCACAGGCTTCAGCACGGATGATCCTTCTCCATCCTTCATTTCTCTCTCTGCTGCCTCCCTTCCGCCCCTCAAGTGCCTTTTTTATTTTGAAAGGACACCGTCTTGAAATTCAAGTACAGGAAAAAGTAATTACATTTTCTCTTCAGGTCTGCCTCTCAAAAAGCCTCCAAATCATCTCTGGCTGAAACACGGGATTATTGCTGAGGGAAAGCGTTATTAGTGGCAGCTCTGCCACTCCCCTCTCTGGCTTTCACTCACTACCTTCTGCCATCTAAGGGCAGTGGGGACAGCATGGTTTCTGGTGCTGTCTCCCTCCTTTCTCTGCGTCTTGGAAGGGAGGGCCACGCCCCTCTGCAGGAGAGGTCAAGCATCTCCTTCAATGTCACACGAATAGTAAGTGGTGGGCTTACCTGGACTCACAGATGGGCTTCCAGCGCTAGGGCCACGCTTGTAATAACTCTGCCTGTAATTGATGTGACTGTATTTGCAGAACCAAAAATTGGGAGACACCCTCTGACAAGTGATGTGCTTTTCCTGATTTTTTGTTCCCCCAGATTCTTAATGTGAAAAGCCATTTGGAGTCACTAAAATGAAATCACATTTTGTTTTGTATTTTAAAAACTGTTATTACTGGAAAGAATATGTTCTATATACTTGGAAATCCAGCACAGAGAGTTACTATTTGTGGGAAATTGCTCCTAACCAGGAGCTAAGAATCCTAGATTCTGATTCAAGTTTAGTCCTTAACTAGCTGTAGGATCTTGATTAATTTACCTCTGCTCTCTGTACCTTATTCTTGTAGTCAGTGAAGTGAGAGAATTGGATCCTGGGATGTTTTAGGGCCTCCCTAGCGCTGATGTTTAGTGACCTTGTAATTCTAGGTACAGACTTCATTATTTGGCTTGTCAGCAATATATAGGTGAGACCTAACTTTAGAAATGATTTTACTCCTCTCTTGCTTTGGGAAAATGTTGGCAACATTTAAATCCATCTGGGACTGATCCTGCCCCTGGGGTGTCATATTTATTTATGTATCCTTTTTTGGTCATACTGAGTGCCGGGAACTTATTTTTCCAGTATGATGATCTTTTAGACTTGCCTTTTGACTCCTTCCTCTTCCTTCGTACTGGATTCCCACTGTCTCCTCCCAACATTCCAACCCTTCTAGTGTTCCCCACCCCCAGCTGTCAGTTGTGTGTGCCCTCAGAACCTTTTCACTAGTGTTAAAAAGAAACAACAGGTCCAAAATGGAGTCACTTGTGTCAAGCCCAGGTCTCCAGACCAGCATTTAATATCTAACTTAATTGCAGTTTCACACCCTCTAGGAATGTAACCCTGACCATTCCTATGCAATAATAAAAGATAATCTGCAAGACCCTCTGCTTCCCCTGAGGGAGGTAGCCTTGCCTGAACCAGTCTTTGCTTTTGCTGAAAAAACTTTGTCCCACCCTCAACCTATCTAGAAAAACCTTGCATTTTGTGCAAGCCTCGTGTAGCCCCTCTCTGCTTGCTAATGGAGCCTGCCCGTTTCATGAACAAATTGTTTAATAAAACCCACTAGAGCTCTAAATTTATTCAGATGAATTTTGTTTTTTTTAACACTAGTCATTAATTTCCTGACTCTCCAACCCTTCCTGTTTTCCTTATGCCAATAAACTTACTAAAATATCACTTTGCACATTTCACTCTATTTTTCTGCTTCCTTCATTCCCAATCACAAAACAAACTTTCAGCTTTTCAGCGATTTCCAGAATAACATCAGAAACTCAGGTTAATGTTTAAAGACAAACAAAATCTGGCCCTAATTTAATCCACTGCATCTCCTTAGTCCCCTGCTCTTACTCTCCTGCTTGCTTAGTCAGTTCTGTTTCCAGAACTTGTTCCTCCTCAGTCTCCTGTGTTTGGCAAGTAAGTGGGCCTCCTGGAGACTTGGGTTTCCTTGTCTGTGAAATGGTAACCACACCTGCTCTAATTCCCTTGGAGGTGGTGGTAGTGTGAGAATTAAATTCACTTATTCAATTAATAGTTATTGGAAATGTTGGGATTTCCCAAATATTTGTGTGCCAGGTTCTGGAAATTCACAGAGTGAAATAACTTACCTGAATCACTCAGGTAGTTGGAGAAACTTGCTTAAGATCCTCCCAGTGTGGAGTTTCCTGGGCTTGCTGGAGGCTGTGGGGCCAACCTGGCCTTCCTCCCTCTCCTACCTAAGACCAGCTCAAGACTCAAAGTACCTTCACAGTGATGGTACTCAAAGTAGCTCCTCCTGTTCCCTCAGGGCCCAGCTCTCCCTAAGGTGAAAATGAGTGATAATAGGCGCTAATTTAATGTTACTTCTTCCAAGTGACATATTTGCATTTTAAGAGACGATGCATAGGAGGATTATTTTAAGCCTGCAGCGGGTGGGTGGGGATATATATTGAGTTGGGGAGGATTTAAGGGGTCTCCCATCACAGGTAGACACCACTGGTTTTTCTCATGGGATTGGCTCCATGCAGGAGTCCAGAGACAAGGACCCTCCCTACACTGGGCTGGGCTGCCTCCCTACACTGTCTGACTGCTCTGGAGTGTCTGGGTGCAGTGATGGATGAGACATCTGTTCCATGATGGGCTATTACCAACAATTCATTACTGCACAATGGACTTACCCTCATTAGCCCAGAAGCTGTGCGTTTAATGTGGCTTTCTGCAATCTCAGATTCTGCTGCACATTTAAGGCAGGCCTCACATTTTATGGAGCCAGAAAAACCTGAACTTCAGAAAACAATGGAGATTTAGCATGCCACTTAAACGAGTTGACGAGTTGACGTATTTACTCTTCATGAATAAGCCTGTTTTGTAGACAAACACGGTGGTTTGCAGCCTCATTATTAGGAATTAGTTCGCCCCACTGCTCTACCCAAGGACACAGTTCTCCTTGGGGAACCGTTGGGCTGTTATCATCCAGGTGCTGGCAGTAGGGGAATAGCATTCTGAAGTTCTGGCCTGGCAACATCCCGATGTGCTGAGGCAGTTCTGGGGAGGGGCTGGCCTGAGGTCTCAGGCTTGCTGCCTGAGATCTTCATCACGACTCATCTGTGTGAAATTTGTACCTTCTGTATTGTGCTATTTGGGGGAGGTTTCTTTTTCTCCCTGTAATGTCTCTCCAGCAAAACCATGGTTGTATAGCCACACTTTTTTGGGGGGTGGGGGGGTGGAGAAGAGGGAATTATCCAGAACCAGTAATCAGTTCAAATAATGTGCAACAGACACAGTATCAATTTCCTAAACTTCTGATGTTATAGGCAATGCTGTTGATGCGTGAACTCCCCCCCTGGGCTCAGCTTATCCTCAGGAAATTATACAGCCACTTGCCACACTCCCACAAAATGACAGTTCTCCTTCTAGCCTTCTTTCTCTTAAATAACTCAGGGATCTCTAAGGTACCTTCTAGCTAGAAATTTCTATGTTGTCATTTACCAAACCACCAATCTACAACTGGGGGATTCATTAAGTCCCATGCCCCCAATTCCAGATGTCCTGCCTTCTTGGTGATGGTGAACTATGAAGAAAAACATGTTGGGGTCAAGGCATGGTCAGTTACTTTTTTTCCTTTGTTATTAAACTTGTCAACTTCATTTTTCTCATTCGGATAGTCCCTCAAGTATACATTAGCCTATTCCCCAGAGTAAAACATCTGTCCCTTTCACAAATAGTTACTGAATGTTCATTATGTGCAAAGTGCTGTGCGAGGTTCTGGGGATTGGATGGACAGGGATTCCATAGAAAATGATTAACTCAGGCACAGACTAAATTCAATTGGATCCCTCAAATACTTAATGAGTCTCTACAATGGTTCAGGCCCTGGGGTTAAAGGAAACCCAGTCACTCCTTGAAAGGTGCATACAGCATCCCTGAAGGTCAGGCTAAGAAACAGACTTTCCCATGTTGTGCTGCTTCTGTCTGGTAATGGGGAGTCCCACGCGGAGATGACATTGTCATTAGGATCCTCATCCTA